TTTAAGAGTTTTAGCCAAATGCATTATAATATAGTATAGATATATATATATATTTTTTTTCAAGTTTTTACGATATTTTCAAATTTATATTTTATTCAAAAATAAAAAAATTATCTCTTTATCAAAACCACTAAAAACCTTGTTATATCGATAAAGAATAAAACGAAACATTAAAATCGAGATTTCACTGTATTTCGCGAGTACGCTTCGAGTGTATGTAAATGTATTTATAATATTATAAATTAGTATTTAAAATCATTAACTAGATTAAATTTATAGATTTCTTAATTCAATTTTTTATTATACGTTAATTTAGATTTAATAACAAATGAATTTATTTTTGGTTTAATAATATATTTTTTCATAAAGATAATAATTAAATAGTCTGTTATAACTCAATGATTATCTTAATTATAATTTAGATTTTCTATATTCAAAATGAATGTTTATCTTGTATTTGATTATGTTTATCTGCACTTAGTTACACAAATTAAAAAATGAAGTTTTAATAAGTTGTACTTATGCACAATTTACATGTAATCTTAAATTTTAAGTAATATGCATCAATAAACAATACTTCGTGCATAAAAAATGATTTTTAAGAGTTTTTATGAAATGTTTTATAATATAGTATATATAGAGAATTAAAAGTAAAAATTTGTTAAACAAATTATATTTCACTCAAACTAATTTTTTATTTTAGAAATTTCACTATTAATTATATTATTTAAATATTTTATATATTATTCTAGTACAATTAATTTTTTTTTATATAACATAATATTAATTCAGTCTCATTGGTGGAATAAATAAAACAACTCATCTCTTTCTCCCTTTTAGTAAAAGTTTTAGGGGTTGTTTACCAAATTCTTATCCGGGCAAGTACTTAGCGGCAATTAACACTATCACTTGATTATCGGGTAAAATTTTAACCTACCAAAACGGTATCTTATGCAACAATTTACCTGGTAAGTGCTAACCGTGGTAAGAGTCGTTGTTCTTACTTACCATGTAAGACTCTCGGTTATTGTCTTCACTTTTACCGGGTAAGATTTTTGATTCTTACCATATACATCCGGTAAGGTAATGTGATTTGGTAAAGGCTTACTCGGGTAAGCGTTTGATAAACGACCTCTTAGAAAAATTCTTTATATTTGGAGTTTTGTCTTTATTTCTCTATTTTGAAATTATGGTTTTAGTCCTTGTAATTATCAATTCATTGCTATTTTGGTCCCTCAACCAAAAACGTAGTTTACTCAACGTTACTGGCGTTGACTTCCTGGTCTGATGAGTGACGCCACGGTGGTAGAAGAAATAGGGAAAAGGAGTCGTGTTGGAATCGAAAGATTTGGTGTAATCGGGGATCGGTTTCAATCGGAGTTGAGACAATGTCGTCGCAATTTCTCCTTCTTCAGCTGCCGCCATTACCGCCGAGGTTACAGCGCCGGTGTCAGTTATCTTCCTGCCAAAACAATCGCATATCGACTCGCCATGTGATGAATCCTTATAGTTCAAGACCTCGTAATTCGTCATCACAAAATCATGATTTTGATGCTTGCAAATATGAAACCCTTGCATTATCTTCGCCGTCTGTGATTCCTCCGAATAACTGCAACTTGAATCGTCGATGCGTAAAGGTTAGATCCAGTTTGAATTTTCCGCTAATCTCGTCGTCAGATCAATGGGGAAACTGGGCTGCTCTCTTCTCCATCGGCGCTATTGGTTCCTGGTAATCAATCTCTCTATCAATTTCATCTCAGAGTTTAATTTCATAGGAAAGCATCATCCAGACTCATGAGAAGACGATACTAACTTCATTATTGGATTCGTTTTCCATAACTTAGAACTGAAACTATTCCAATTAATGGATGTTAATTGTTTTATCTGTAAGGTCAGAGAATACGAAGATCGGGAACATGTTAAGTGGATCATTGGTGAGTATATTGATTGGACTTGCGGCTAGTAATTTGGGGATTATGTCTTGTGAAGCTCAAGCTTATTCGGTTGTCATGGAGTATTTGTTACCATTAGCTGTTCCTCTATTGTTGTTTAGAGCAGACCTGTTTCGTGTTGTTAGATCAACTGGGAAGCTGCTTTTGGCTTTCTTGATTGGATCAGGTAAGATTGTTCCTTCAATCAATTAGTTGCTATCTACTGCGAAAAAAGATGGAATATATAACTGAGATCAGATGGTTACATATAGACTCAAATGGGTCACATATAATGGTTTTCCATAATGGTCAATTATGATTTTGATATTTTGATAGTCACAAGACCTCATACAGCAAAAATAAGAACAATGACACTCATGATTGTAGCTCTTGTTAGATGGGTGTCAACTTCCTACCTGAAATGATTGTAATATGGCCGAGTTAATGATTTCTCTTTCATGATTGTAGCTCTTGTTAGAAATTTGCTGCAGTAAACAATAAAAATAAACAAGATTAGGATGTCATTTGGAATCTCTATCCTTAGTGATAATATTATCCTCCACTATGTGGGGTTGTGTTAAGGCTAATTTAGCCCCAAGATTTACCTAATCTATATCTATACTATATTATAAAGCATTTGATAAAAACTCTTAAAAACCATTTTTTATGCATGAAGTATTGTTTATTGATGAATATTACTTAAAATTCAAGATTACAAGTAAATTGTACACGAGTACAACTTATTAAAGCTCTATGTTTGAATTCGTGTAACTAATTGCGGATAAACATAATCAAATAGAGGATAAATATCTCATTTTAAAATCTAAAAAATCTAAAATATAATTAGGATAATTATTGAGTCTAACAGAATCATTAATTATTATCTTTATAAAAAAATATTATTAAACCTAAATTAAGTTACTTCGTTACGATAAATTAAATTATAATAAAAATTTTGAATGAAAAAAAAAACACAAATAAGAACTTTTAAATAGTTAATTTGATACTAATATTAATATATTTTTTTGCAAATTTTTTATGATATTTTCAAATTTATATTTTATTCAAAAATAAAAACATTATCGCTTTCTTAAAACCACATAAAATCGTATTATATCGACATAGATAAAAAATAAAACGAAACACTGAAATCGAAATGTGTCTCGATGCATTGCACGAGTACCCTTCTAGTCTTAGATAAAGGATACACAGCCAATCCTTTTACGTAGTGCTTTGACCCATTAAATGTATTATATGCAAGCCCAAACCAAGTAGAAAATCAAGCCCAAACTCCATGATTCTGTATTTGATAAACCAAATAGGCTAGATTTATAAAGCACTTAATATTTTATCTCCTTTCGTATGTGGGACAAGATTTCCATATTCAAGACTGCTTTAATTCTTCTAATGAATTGTACATCACCCATGGATATCTCAATCTAAATGCTGGTTATCATTTATATTCATATACTACAAAGCTAATTACAACCAAACATCATCTCTATGTCTATGGTTTTACTATAACAACAAGCAAAACAATGGGTTAAGGCATTTAAGTTCGTAGGTCCAGGATCAGGTGATGAACAGCATGATTTTTAGACCTATATTAAGAGATTCTGTTTATATGATCTTGTTGGGCTAATCACGAACCAATTCACATGTATAAGCAGGATTCTTCTATCTCTATAAGGGTTCGTTTGGAGGGAGAATAAGAGGTTCCATGTATTCCAACACTCTTTTCAAAATCATGCCTGGTCTTATTAGATTGCCAACTTTCGTAGAATAAAAATCAGTCACCAGGCTAGATTTTATATGTTGGAATGTTCCACCAGATTCATTTTAACTTCAAGTGGAAATCCACAATATTCCAAGATATTCCAAGGCGTATTTATGATGGATTTCTGCTGTTAATTTTTTTTTATTTGCTCATTCATTCCATCTATCTTTTCTTTTTTGTAGTGGCAACCACAATTGGAACAGTAGTGGCTTATTGGATGGTTCCAATGCGACCACTTGGCCAAGAAGGCTGGAAAATTGCTGCTGCTTTAATGGGTAGACATATCGGTGGAGGTAATAAATTATGAAACCTTCTCATACATAGCTTCAACCACAACATCGTAACAACTGGCTGGCCTTCATTGAATAGCTTTTTTACAACTATCAGGATTAGCATCTTTTGATTGTTTGAATGCTAGAAATCTCTCCACTTATGATCCTTATTCTCGAGCACCAAGAATATAACCTTTGAAACTAGGTTTGAGAGATGTTGGTTATTGAATGCATGGGAACTGGCAGAGATTAATCAAATTGTTAAAGAATTCTTCATATTCACACTTGCAACTAATTAGGATGTTCTGAATGTAAGAATATATGTGGAACCCCATTAGATTATTTTTGAAAAGAGCCCTTGAGGAGAGATCAGAAGTTCCAACATATATAGAGGATAAATGGTCCAATTATGGTTGATGAGGGACTCTAACACGCCCCCTCCAAATGGAGGCTAGACTTGCAGAAATTGTCCTAGGGTGTTGAGAGGGGGATAGATGACTACAAATTGCCTTAGAGTGTCGAGTCCTTAGAGTAGTAGACCTTGGCTATGATACCGTGTGAGAATATGTGGAACCTCAGATTAATCTCCAAAAGAGCCCTTGAGGAGAGAAGGGAAACTTATATATGTTGCTCCCTCTCGACACTCTAGGACATTCTAGAACAATTTGTTCCCGTCTAGCCTCCGTTGGAGGGGACGTGCTAGAAACCTGAATCTGCTTAGACTTGGACCATTTCTCTTTTATATTCGTTGGAACCTCCTTTCTCTCCTCATTGGCTCTTTCAGAGCATAACCTGGTGGGGTTCCACATATTCTCACACTGAAAATATTAGTCAATGGGAAGTTGTATGCTAATTTCTTTATGCCTTTCTCTTGGCTTGCTTTCTGCGTTGCATCTTGATCAATGAGTTTCTTGTTTCTGATACTTTGTAGCTGTCAATTATGTTGCCGTTGCTGAAGCTCTACGGGTTTCTCCTTCAGTCTTGGCTGCTGGACTAGCTGCAGATAATGTTATTTGTGCGGTATATTTTACCACATTGTTTGCACTAGCTGCTAAAATTCCACCCGAGAATTCAGCATCAACCACTGGTTCGTTATAATACTTCTTTCCACTTGCAAGCCTCTTATATATCTTGTGGACCAATCGGTTTTTTTTAGCTAGCTTGCAAAATTCTCATGCATACCGAGTTTTGTTCACCCACTCGCTGAAAATGTATATTTGGGACTTTTTCATCCATAAGGGTGCATTTGGTATCCAAATAGGACAGGACATGACAAAACAGAACTGGACAAAACAGTTGTTCAACGTTTGGTAAGACAGAACTGGACAGAACATAACAAACAAAACGCATCCTAACTGCATTAAAAAACACAGCATCTTGATTACTGAAAACGAAATTATGTCGATCATCTCTTTGTGTTTGCTTTCTATTTCATCATGTTTTTATTTTTATTTTTTGACTTCATTTTCAGCTTACCCCACCTAGTTTGCACATAGATTTACTATAAGATGTAAGCTCAAATACACCTGGAACGTTTGCAGATGTCGAAGAGGACGTGAAACCAGAATCTGGGGGAAAACTTCCGTTGATGCAGTCTGCCACTGCCCTTGCTGTATCCTTTGCCATCTGCAAAGTGGGCAGTTTTATAACAAAAAGTTATGCAATCCCCGGAGGAAGCCTTCCAGCCGTTACCGCTGTTGTTGTGGTTTTAGCAACTACGTTCCCAAAACAGTTTACTTACCTTGCACCCGCTGGTGAGGTTATGGCGGTCATTCTAATGCAGGTTAAACTTCCAACTCGTTTTCTTGTTTTCAAGTTCTAACTTTTTCGAATGCCTTTTTTTGTTCTTTCTATGCAATCTTTTTACACACCATGCACAAGCAGGGTCTTGCCGCTCTACCCACTGGGGTGGAGTGGAGGTCAGGTTTGCGTACATTTTTTCAAGAATGATTGTCCAATCCCGCATTTCTAATAGTAACAACTCTAGTACTAGCATGCCCCTGGAATCCCACCTTCCGGGGGCGTGGGACGTTGTAGGATCCACGAGATGTATCCAAAACATGTTCAAATCATACTTCTTGCCATCTAGACGATACATCACTATCATTTTTTTTTCATTTTCCTCAGGTATTTTTCGCTGTCGTTGGCGCAAGTGGGAACATACGGAATGTGATCAACACGGCACCTAGTATATTTTTGTTCGCTTTCATTCAACTAGTCGTTCATCTTGCGGTCATTCTAGGTTTAGGAAAGCTGTTTCGGTTCGACCAAAAGCTATTGCTTTTGGCATCGAATGCGAACGTCGGTGGGCCCACGACGGCCTGCGGAATGGCGACGGCCAAAGGATGGAGTTCATTGGTTATTCCTTCAATTCTTGCTGGTATTTTTGGCATTGCTATTGCTACTTTTCTGGGGATTGCATTTGGAGCTAAAGTTCTTCAGTTTATGTAAACCCAAGAGGTTTTGTTTGCAAGTACCACTTTTGCCATTGATATATGGAATGGCATGTCCTATTTTCAAGGGTATTTTAGTCCTATTTTCAAGGGTATTTTAGTCTTTTTAATTTCTCATCATTCTAAAGTCTTTTTATTTTCTCCAAAGGTCAAAAGTGTCCGGAGGTCTCAGGTTCGAATCCGAGGAGGAATAAAAATCCCCTTGTGGCCACGGAGGTTCAAATGCGGTGGCTTCAGACTACCCGTGAAGCGGGTGGTCGCCCTGGGATTAGTCGGCTCACATAACGGGTTGGATATTCAGGTTAATTAAAAAAATATATTAAAGATTTATCATTCAAGAATCAAAGATCGGTTTTTAGCTTTTCAAGAGCAAATAACCCTCGGTTTCTAGCTATCTTGCTCATATCAGTTAAAACATACAGGATGATGATGTAGACATTTTAGAAGGTCGTTTAAACTAACTCAGGTTTGTCTTATAATTTCCAATTCGAACTTACTTTATTTTGTTTTTCATTAAAATTTGCTTTCATCGCATTTGCACAAGTCTTCACAAAACTTTTTGTTGCTTTTACGGAAGCGTTTCAGACGTCTGAATCTGTCAATTTGTTCTTTCATCGACCCTGTTAATCCTTAAAATTGCGGTCAGTACATGGGACATAACATAATAGGACTGGATAAAACTCGGTGTTCCACGTTTGACACGACATGAGACATGACAAAAACTCAACGTTCACGTTTGGAGCGACATGAGACAAGGACTGGTGGGACTAGATTAGACACAAACTTGGTCCATGTGGATCAAAAGTAACACTTTGTGTCCCTGAGTTTTAAAATTACAAAATGACCATCATAGTTTTAAAAAATGTTTGTATTTGGCCCCTCCCTCTACGGCCATTAAAAAATTATGTTAAATAAGGGGTTTTGTTTTGTCATTTAATCGATTTTTTTGCCTTTTACCCAATCAAAATCCACAAGGACCAAAATAATAAAATCGATTTTGATTGGATAAAAGACAAAAAAAATCGATAAACGGACGAATATGTTTCTTATTTAACGGAAAATTTTAACAACCGTTAGAGGAAGGGATCAAATCCGAAAGTTTTTGTAAACAACGACGACCATCATAAAATTTTGAAATTGTAGGGACGAAAAGTGTTAATCTTTACGGACCACAGAGATCAAATTTGTAGTTTACTCTTCTACCAAAACACGTGGTATAAGATGAGACAAGGATGCTGATAACTAAGAAACTATCAATTTATCCTCATCCGGTATAAACCTAATATGGTGTTCGTTATACTAGTCACAACCACCCATCATCATCACCACCACCATCATCATTAACGCCACCATCAGCCATCGCCAACAACTTCCACCACCACCAGTCTATAACCAGCCAACCATATCAGTTTGTTCAATCAATTTTTGCATCTCTAACTGTAAAGACTATAGAGATGATTCAACGGATAAATCACAAAGCAATAATATACGAAACAAATTACAAATCTCGTGCCCGTCATCACATAATCGCAACTCGAAAAAAAAAAAAAAAAGTAAGTAACAAACTAGACTAAATTACATTTTCGTCCTTATGGTTTAAAATTGCGGTTTTAGTCCCTATGATTTGCAATTTATTTCTATTTTCGTCACTAAGGGGGCGTTTACCAAATGCTTACCCGGGTACGCGTTTACCAAGTAACATTACCTCACTGGATGAATATAGTAAGGACCAAAAATCTTACCCGGTAAGAGCGAGACAATGATCAAAAGTCTTACCCGGTAAGTGAGGACGACGACTCTTACCACGGTAAACTCTTAGTAGATAAATTATTGTATACTATGTCGTTTTGGTGGACTAAAATTTTACCTGACAAGTACATAATAGTGTTAAATTTTACCGGTAAGCATTTACCGGATAAATGTTTGATAAACGACCCGTAAGACTAACTACTACTTTTAACTTTTAAGTAAAATAACAATGAATTGTAAATAACAGGGATGAAAAACACAATAAAGTTTAAATCATAAAGATGAAAATAATAATAAATTATAAATCATACGTATGAAAATCACAATTTCAAAACCACAGGGGTGAAAATAGAAAATTTCAACAAACTACAAGGACTAAAAACGTAATTTACTCTAAAGAAAATCATATTCAAATTCAGACAATGAATTCCTTCACAAAATTACGAATGGCGGACGCCCGTCTTGGATCAATCATTTCAATCCCATGAAACCCTACATCATCAAATCGAGCTTCCACCATTACCCCTTGCATCACCAACAATTGCACCAGATCTTGTTGCCGATCGATCAATGGATCTCCTCCAAATCCGATAACCAAACATCTGCCCAATTTCTTCATCTTCTCCTTCACTTGTTCATCTCCTAATGGATTGCAAAATCTGTGATCTCGATCTGTTCCTTTTGGTAAAGCAAGTTCCCACAGTACATCGATCACCGGCAACGGAAAAAACACATCTGCCGCCAATTTTAGCTCCGATTTGGTTCGTTTTTTCCCTCCGATGAACGGCTGGCACAGTATGATTCCGGCGATTGTTACCGGCGATATGTCGTGATCGATAACTCGTAGAGCCGTGTTCAATACGATATTGGCGCCACATGAAGTACCGTACATGAAAACCCTAGAAAAATCTGCGTACTGTTTGATCCATGGATCCCCGTTTGGATCTGTGGCTTGTTTTTTGATCCAATTGATGGCGTCCATGGCATCGTCGTATTGACCTGGAAGCCTGGTCTCCGGTGCTAGCCGGAAGTTGACGGCGACGATGATGGCTGGGATCTCGTCGGAGAGTTTGTTCATGGCTTCATGATTTAGGGCATCCGATACACTGAAAAGTATCCAACCACCGGCGTGGAAGTAAATCACTAACGGAAGCCGTGCGATTTTGTTGTCGTTTGACGGAATTTTGGCCGGCCGGTGGATGCGTAACCATGTCTTCTTTGTGGCGTCTAGGGTGACATCTTTGCTGACCACCGTCTGGCCGGGAACGGGGTCGGCGTCTCCAGTGGCCGGAATTTGGGGGAATTGAACAAGACGGGTAAGTGTTCCATCTTCATTCTTTAAAACCTTAAGGTGTTCATATGGATCAAATTTTGACATTTTCTTTGCTATTTAGATGAAATCAAGAACATATTTTAGAGTTCTAAAGATCTAAATTTGGGTTTTTTTGGTATATAATGATTGCAAATTTGGTTCGAGAATGTTGGTTTGATTGATCCAAGTTTGTGAAGGGTTGTGCTAAATTGTTGGGAATTTGGGGAGTTTGACACCATATAAGTTTGAGCATATTTTGATCAAAAGGTTTTACCATGTCTTCAAGAAAAAAATCTAAAAAATAAATTGCATTAAATGGCTCGGAATTCGGGGGATCGTTACGTAATTGACCTTGAAATCATTTTTACAAACTAATATGTTTCGGGAAATTGACCAAAATAGCCCGTCTTCCCGATCAACTTCACTTTTTAGTCATTTTTCAATTGAATTTCCATTTTACCCGAAGTTTATGCAAATGTCTTACGCCTTTGTGTAAACTCGATCTTCATATTAAAAAAAGAGGAAAAAGATTCGTGTTAGGATTCAAATTTTTGTGTAAGAATCCTTACGTATATGAATAATTTTTTCCCTAGATGCATAAGACATATTCGTAAAGATTGGCTAAAAAATGAAAAGAGGTATGGAAATGATTAAAAAGGGAGAGATTGACAGAATTGGCTTATTTCAGTCAATTTCCCTATTTTTCGGGTCATTTGAATATAGGGGTGTTTATGGGTTGGGTTGATCGGGTTGAAGACATTTGAACAACCCAACCCAATGCTTGCGGTTTGAAAAATCTTAACCCAACCTAACCCAAACGAAAGTGCAACCCAACCCAACCCGTATAGGTTGGTCGGGTTGATACTTTGGTACATTAAAATATTCTTCTAACATTCAATATGTTATTTCTCTACTCATATTTTTTTTTCATCATCAACCATTTGATACAACTTATCTATACTTTTTACGTATATCACATTCAATTAATTTTCTCGATTTACGTATATCACATTCAGTTAATTTTCTCGATTTACGTATATATGTTCCACAGTTATTGAACATATATACGAATGAGTTATATAGAGATGTGAGTAGATTGAAAAGATGTGTATATGAATAGTGTATGTGATAGTGTAATTGTTAGATTCAAATAATAGCAACCCAATATCAACCCATTACCTACGGTTTGAAAATTTTACAACTCGATTAGACATCGGGTTGAGTTATTTTGCGTTGAGTTGATCGAGTTGGTTGAGTTTTTGATCACCCCTATTTGATTAAATCGCCTTAAATAAGTTTTTAATCAAGATGAGGACCTAATTTCTTTTTTAGCTCAATGACTTTCATGTGATCGTATATTTAGTAATGTAACCGTAAATGAGATTTTAATTAAATGTATGACCTTCTGATGAGTATGAAACCATTTTTAACAGTTCAGAAGGTCATGAATTTAATTAAAATCTTATTTAAGGTTACATATCTTAATGTTATGTCATAAAAACTTCGAATGCCATGCCTTAATGTTAAACATTTAGGTATATATAACCTTAAATGAGATTTTAATTAAATCCATGACCATCTCGTGAGTATAAAGCTATTTTTTCTTTAGCAGATAAGGTGGTGATGAATTTAATGAAAACATTTAAGGTCATTTCCCTAAATGACCTTTTACGATCTTTTCGGAAACATCTATGCCTCTATGGTAATCTAGACTTCTTTTTGTTATAAATCCCTAACCTCTTAGGAGACCAAAGATTACGATACCGTTAGACCAAAAACCCTTTGTTAATTGTAATATTATGTTGTTATATGCAAATTCATTTCTTCGTCATACGCTTTATACTCGAATTACTAATAAACGAGTTATCATGTAGTCTAAAAACGAGATTTGTTATAATCGGGTTGGATTGGATTATTGGTGAAACGAAGGAAATTGCGTACTGTGGTACTAGACTTGTGGCCAAGATGACGCTATAAGGGTAACATTGCTTTATGCCATGTTTGGTGTTTGGCCTTAGAAGGTTGTTTACTAAAAAAAGGAATTGGGTAAGTGCTTATAGTGTAAGAGATTTTTATTGAAGTAAAAGGCTATGTCTAAAATGACTATTGGAGTAAGGGGCTGTTTAACAAATACTTACTCTGGTAGGCGCTTACCAAGTCACATTACCTTATCGGATGCATATGGCAAAGACCAAGAATCGACAGTTTTACCCGGTAAGTGAGGGCGACGACTCTTACCACAGTTGGTGCTTACCGGGTAAATTGGTGCATATGATACCATTTTGGTGAACCAAAATCTTACCCGGTAAGTAAGTGATAGTGTTGAATTTTCCCGGTAAACACTTACCCGGGTAAGAGTTTGGTAAACAACCCCTAAGAGGCTTTGGCTGAAATAATAGCTTATTGAAGTTTACCATGTGTTCTGCTAGTAAACACCAAGAACAAATTGACAAAAAATTACTATTTTAACCCTCTGGTGGATCGAAGACGGTTCATTCAAAAATATTATAATTCACATTATATGTTTTTACTTTTTATAATCCCGACCAAAACCACACGGTGCAAACGATTATGATAGACAAATATAAAAATGTCACAACCGATAAGAAACATCCTAAAAACATATATGTTATAATAAGAGTATACACAAGATCAACGGTAGACCAAGAAAGAACAACATGACGAAATAAATTTCATTTATGAGGATGCATAATCTCCATCAATATTCAAACTAACAAATAGTGTATACGCCACCGACTAGAGCGTCCACATCTCACCGGTCCCAAATCTATGGGGAGGAAAATTGCAGTGTCCCTCAGAGGCAGAGGCAGGTGGATGGTGTTGGATTCGAACCCTAAATCAAATAACATAACTAAGCCTCAAGATTTACATGTCATCAATTTACTGATAAACCCCCAAATGAAACAAAAGTGAAAAAAACGCAATGAAGTTGGACTTGTCCAAGTGGTTATGATCTCCTCTGGAGGATTTAAGGTTACGAGTTCAAATCTTATACGTGAACATGGTGTGATGAACTATGTGGACAAGTGGGAAATTTTCACCAAGTCATCCCTCCACGTGTGTAGAATCATGAACGGCGTCCATGGTACTATTAATCTTGCCTTCATCTCTTTGTTTCTCTTTCTCTTCAAGCATCTTCTTCTCTTCCGCTAAGGCTGCATCTTGTTCTTCTTTGGTGAAGTGATGATACTTGACCTACATATTCAAAAAAAGTTCAAATCAATGTCTAAAAACATGCCCTTGAGGACACAACAGTCCAACCAGTTGTCACCTATTTAAGAATTTACTTGTTTAAAAAAACAAACCTTATTGTTACTAAAATGTAGAAAACCAGATGACCCATTGGCTAGAATGCCTAGCCACTGAGTCATGAGTGATCCAACTAGGTTTACAGGTGAAACAAACTCAGACACCTTCCTCATCTTTGGTGAGGTCCAACCCTTGACCTCTTTGGAAGGCGAAAGGTTCAGATATTGATAAGTCAAATGCCATTTGGTCCTTAAATCACAATTTTATGAATATACATAGACATATGCTATACATATGATATACAGGTCATATAACAATGCTCCTCTTACCTCATGAAAATTGCAACATCGTTTTCCTTGCAACTTCTAAACTAAAAACAACTTACTATTTTCCCATTGTAATCATTACCAAAAACACTAATAGTATCTATCTGAGTTATATCAAATAAGGGTAGATTGATACTTTTTTAGTTTTTGTCCCATCCTTGTGATTTGTGTTCCACACTTCCACCTATTTGGTGGAACAAGAAAATCTTTTTTGTCCCACCCAGTCCTAGTTCCAGTTCTTGTCCTTTGTCCCATATCGCACCAAAAGTGGAACAATGAGTTTTTGTTATGTCTTATGTCTCGCCAAACGTGGGACATTTAGTTTTGCCCTGTCCATTCTCATATACAAAACGCAACCATTAATGCCTAGTAATAACTGGAATTTCATGGGTTGGAGGGAGTATTCAGTCAAACTTGAGATGACATAGTACTTCTTCCATCTCATGAAAATTACAACATTACTCTTTTAGCAACTTAACTAAGAATTAGTTATTTTTGTAGTACCAAACTTAAACAAGAACTGATTATATGAATTTGAATCCAAAGAAATCCCGTGTGTTGTCACCTTCAAAGGTCATTTAGGGCAGCTAACGAATCGTCAAACACTATCTTAAACTATGTACCCGTGTTCCACTGAAATGTTGTAATTTTGATTGGAGGCACATAGTATTTTTTGGAGCTCATAAGACAAGGCTACAAATACAATATAAAAGAGAACTTGGGATCATGTGAGACTAGCCTGTTCTCGTGAGACGTGTGAGACTACCTTTTTATACTTCAAACTTCATAGTAAAACAATGTGAAGGTAACCTTCACAATGTTTTTGTTGTGAAGGTGGGATTTTTTTTAACCTTCACAATGTTTTGTTGTGAAATTTCAAGTGTAAAAATGTGGTTTCATGGGTCTCATGAAAACATGTCGGTCTCACGTGAACCCAACCCCGCAGGCTGTTTTCATGAGCCCCATGAGACCACATAAATAACAGTGAAACTTCACAGCAGAACACTGTGAAGGTAAACCTTCATAGTGTTTTTGTTGTGAATGTTTAATATTTTTTGTACCTTCCAGTGTTTTGTTGTGAAGTTTTAGTGTTATTTTGCGGTCTCCTGGTACGAGCAAGCTATAGCTTGCTGACTCTCCTAGTGGTTTGGCGGCAAGGAAAGGGGCACTAACCTATCTTCTACAGGAACTGGGGTTTAGCCATGCATTTAGACACAACCGACTGCCGGTGACTATGACCCTTGGCTTATATATCGACCTTGGCCCTATTGATGAATGAAAGAAAGGCTTCGTGATACCTATCAGGGACCGAGGCCTTGTTACTTTTAAGTTGGGGGAACCTCATAGTTTTATAATGATTCTTTCACTCCTATCCCCTTATAAGATGAGGGGATCTAGCAGTGCCTTTCCCTATCGCCTTCCTTTTGATAGTCGTAAGCTAAAGCTAGGAATTTGGAGGTTTCATGTCCCACGAGTGAGTTGCCAAGTGTCCCCTAGGAGGCCAGTGTGAAATGCTTCTCAGGTGAGGAGCATGAACGAGATAATATTGATTGAATAAGAAGAACTCAAAAGTGAAGGTCTTAAAAACTTCAAAGAATTAATGGTTGGCCATTCCAGGCAAAGGTAAGGGGAAAAACAAAGAAGGAAGGGGAAAAACAGGCTCCCCAACTCATTGCCCAGAGCCTTGACTTTCCATGTTTTTAGTCAAATGCGTGCTACACACCTTTTTGTTTGTTTCATAGCTGTTTTAGTAGGGCAAACTCCTTTCACATGGCTTACGGAGGTATTTCAAAGCCACCCGAATTGTTGCTCGAAGACTTTTTGGTTCATCATGCTATTGCTCTGGGTTTACATACAACTACGTGGATCTTAGTAAAAGGTGCGTTAGATGCTCGTGGTTCCAAGTTAATGCCAGATAAAAAAGATTTCGGTTATAGTTTTCAGTGCTATGGCCTAGGACGAGGTGGTACTTGTGATATTTCGGCTTGGGACGCATTTTATTTGGCAGTTTTTTGTTCTACCACTTCAGGTCCCAATCTTTGGTATGTCCCTTAGTTAGCTGGGCCTACCATTATAATGCTAGAGAATGCCATTAATTGCTATATGAAGTGAAATACCTAGCCTAGTTATGAACCACCAGGTTGGAGCCATGGTCTACCCAGCAGTGCTTCATATCCTCCTTGCTCTTTGTCTAAGATTGTACTAAAGGTACCAAATAAGGCAAATAAAATGAACTTATTACTATTTTTTGTTACTCTAATTTTGAGTTGGTCAGAGGGTGACAGTTTTCGGGGATCACTTTGCAGGGTCTCATGAAAATAAGCGGGTCTCACGAAAATAAGCTAGTCTCACATGAACCCAACCTTGTAAAAGAGAGCTATGGAGTATAAATAATAAATCAAACAAACTTAATATCCCACACGAAGTTGGGGGTCGAAGGAGGGTAGGATGTACACAACCATTTCTCTACCCAAGGAGTAAAAGATTGTTTCCTTAACTATGGAGCATAAACCAAACCAAACGGGTCTAGTATACCCCATGTGAAGGTGGGGTATGGGGGTGGGATAAATACAAACCTGACCTCTACCCAAAAGAGTAGAGAAAATGTTTCTGTAACTATGGGGCATGAAGGGAGGAAAAAATCAACATGTTTTCATACCTTGATTGTTATAGTTCCTCTATCCTTCTTATCTTTGACCTTGACCGTATCAAGTGAAGGTTGTAGTCTCAACTGAATTTCTTTCTCAATTTCAGGTTGAAGATCAACCAACGGTAATTTTGCTATGCCCAATCGTTGGTCGGCTCCAATATCTTCATCAAAAACCTGTTCGTATTTACACATTATATGATTAAATATGATAAAAAGGTCTTTGCATATTTAGAGCTTTTTTTCTATGAATGGTATCAAGATAGGATGGCAACAAGATGAAGATTGGTTATTTGAGCCCATTAGTTTGGAAAAAAAGATGCAACATACACATAACTTATAAGTTAGAGCATCTCCAACAACTATACTATACTTTTTTCTAAAATAGAGTATCGAAAATTAAGATCTCTAAAAAAATACACCCAACTCCAACAGCTACTCTATTTTAGGAATTCTATCATTAACTATATTATTAAAATAGTTAATACATTTAATAAAATATTATTTCTCTATCCTAAGTATGGAGTTTTAGAGATTTATCCAAATTTGGAGATTTCTACCCTCTTTCTCTTGTTTTCTCTATTTTAGCATACATTATAACATAACTGTTGTAGCAAAAATGTACGCTAATTCTCTAAAATCTATATTTTAGCATAGCTGTTGGAGATGCTCTTAATATGACTCATACATCTAATGCAAAATAACACGAATCTTGTGGAACAAAAGACAAAGGTATCATGTTAAGAGTCCCACATCCGGTAGACTTGACGTTTCTACTTCAATATATGTTGGAATTTTCCTTCTCTCCTCAAGGGCTCTTTCAGAGAGTAATTTGATGAGAACCCACATATTTTCATTTCACATGGTATTAGAGCCAAGGTCTACCTTTGAGACATCTCTGTCCGTCTAGCCTCCACTGAGGGGAGGGGGTTGTTAGAGTTCCATATTGGCTAGACCTAAACATTTCTACTTCAATATATGTTGGAACCTCCCTCTTCTTGTCTCCTCAACGGCTCTTTTGGAGCGTAATCTAAGGGGGGGGGGGGGGTCCACATATTTTCACATGGTATAAGAGTCGAGGTCTACCACCGGGGCATACATGCTCGTCTAGCCTCCGTTAGAGGGGTTGTTAGAGTTCCAAATTGGCTAGACTTGGACCTTTCTATTTCAATAGATGATAGAACCCTCCTCTCCTCAACAAATCTCTTGGAGAGTAATCTGATAGGGTTCCACATATTCTTACATATCATTATTTATCTAAGATTGTTAATGACAATTGATGTAAAGTTCGGTTAAAACTTTGCTAAAAAAAGAATGTTGCATTTATTTTGGGACACCTCAAAAAGAGAGTTGTTGCATTTATATTGGGTAAGAAAACGAACAAGGGGAAAAGTATGGATCAAACCTCGACTACGGCAAATTGGGTATCTTTGTCTTCTACACTGAGATGAAATGTTTCATTCCAAACGGGATTCAAATTGTTTTCGATGACTTGTGTTCTGAACTTTTCTAGTGGCCGAACGAATGCAACAGCATAAGGATCGGACTTTCCCATCATTTCCATATTCTTCAAATTATTTGCCTTCACAATTGTAAATGTGAGCTTCCCTTGTGGTTTAAGCTCCAGATCACTGCACAATATAGCAACAATATATCACTAAAATTAAGAGTTAACTTTCAGAATCATAGTAGTTTTGATATTGAAATTGAAATCTAAACCAAACTTCTATGAATTTGGTATTTATCTAACAAGTTCTTATGATTGTTAATTTCAAAGTTCCGAGGTGCGTTTGGTAATGTGGGACTGGACAATACAAAAACTTGTCCATGTAGGACGTCATACCGGAACACGAAAGGACCTGAGTGGACAAAAATGCATTTTTTGGTCCCACCAAACTAGGTGGAACAAAACAAGGAGATGAGACAAAATTGGTAGATTACTAAACTACCCATGTCAAATTAAAATCCTAAAACCTTCCAAAGTTCTTTCACCTACCTGTCTCATTCTCGCTAGTCCAGTCTATTCTTGCTTACCAGAATCGTCCGACCAAAATCTTGCACATTTACAAACTGTGGTGTTGTTTTTGCATTTTGCAAGAACGATGATTTTCTTTGGGGAATCTACTTAGAAGTCACCGGTTCGAGTCCTGTAAGGCTACAAGGCTATGGTTGTTCACCGTCCCTGGGATCAGTCGAGGTGCGTGCAAGCAAACCCAGATGCCCATGGTTAACAAAAAAAAAAAGAATGGTGAGTTGTTCACAACAAAAACCCAAATATGATAGTTTGAAAAAAACCGCTCGTAATTTTTTAGAATGTTTTTGTTTATAATGTGATTTAAGTTCAAACCCATTTGCTAGTTATCACTCTGTAGTTATTACGAAAAAGAAGATTAATAGCACATATGATACCAAATTAACATCATCGTTGTTACCTCGTATCGACAGGTGTACCACCAAGGGGAACAACGATCCTATGCGGCCATTGAAGCATATCGGTAATAATTGAGGTTACAGTATCCTACACAAATCAACAAGCATATTAGTTAGGATGCTTAAATCATTCTAAATTTTTTCTTTCATTGTAAGAAAACTTACTTCAATCATATCTGATAGTCCAGGAATGGCTGTTAAACTTCCGCCAATGGCCTTGACCGTATAATCGAATCTCGGCTTTGGCTGATACCAAAATACGGTAATTTCATATTAATTGACCAAAAACAAACATACATGTTGCATGAAAATCAACGTACTTTGATATGATTCCTATTTCGTATAACATACTCTCTAAACCTTTTATTTTGGTATCTCATGTGACATCTGAACATGTAGATACCTGATTTACATATGGGATTGCATGAAAACGCACTTAGATCTGATTCCTATTTAGTATAAAATACTTTCTAAACCTTCATTTTGGTGTGCCAGATGTGACATCTCAAACATGTAGATACCTGTTTTACGTATGAGATTGCATAAAAATGCGCCATACTTAGGTCTGATTCCTATTTTATGTCACACATCTAGGTCTAAATGTTTGAGATATCATATCTGAAGTATCAAAATGAATGTTCTGAAATTACGTTGCATTTAATAGGAATCAGACCAACATACATTATAACTTCATGTAATTTGGCATTTTACCCAAAAACAACCTATTTCCTTTTCATATCGTCTTATTTAGCTTTATGTTGCAAATAGACCATCGTTTTCCTAAAAGTGCAAACAAAAAAACAACAGGCCGTTTACTTTTCCACATTGTTCATGATGGCTCAATCTTACTAACAATAGTGTTACTCTTAACATTTTCACAAGAATGGTGGTTAGTTTGCAATCAAAAGCCAAATACGATGTTTAATAAAGTCAATCACTCCATATAGAAATGTCCGACCATCATCATGACTACAATTAATAGAATTTATTTTTCTCGATCACCACAAAATTCGATGTTCCAGCCTTCGAGGGTCATAAAGGTTCGAATGTGATAAGAATTGTGTGCCAAAGGGTCATTGACCAAGCAGTAGCTCGCCTAGCCTCCCTGGAGCCCTAGAGGGCAGAGGGCGAAGGAGGTTCAAGCCTCACCAAAAGTGAGGAGTGTGTGAGAGCATTTGCCGTATATAAATATTAAGAAGAAGAACTGTGAATATAAGGCCCCTCCTTGAAAATACAATATTTCAAGATCAAACAATCTATCCTCTCTAGGGGTGTGTTTGGTACGCTAGACAGGACAATAATGTGATCATTGTTCCATGTTTGGCATGACTTTTATATAGAACAGATGTGTTACACCCCCGCAGCATGGAATAAAGTGGAACAAACATATATTTTACCAATATAAACTCAAAATAAAACATAGTTCTTTTCTAAAACATCAAATACACCTCTCTCTTTATATTTTATTCATTCTTTATTGTATTTTATGCTCTTTAAACTTTCATGTTACTATTCTCAATATATTATTTTTATACAATTTTTATATTTTGATTAATTTATGTAATTTATTAAAAGGCAAAATGCACGTAATAACAACCTAATTTTACTTTTTTTTTAATATGTCATTGTACTTTCAAATATTTCTTATTACAATAATGTATTTTCAAAATATTTTTTTATTAGGACATCGTAAAAATTTATCCATTATAGCAATGAGTAACCTTTTGAATTAAGTTTACTCATTATACCAGGTTTCTTTACCACCTCATCGTCCACGTAGGTTGCCTACATGTACGATAGTGCTGACATGACATTTATATTATAGCATTGTACTTCCAAAATTATTTTATTATAACATCACCAAATTCTATTACAACATTGTACTTTTAATTTTAATCTTTTTATCATTTAAACATTGTAAATTTAATCAAATGTGTTTAACAAAAATTATAATATCAGAAATTAAACATGTTTACAAAAGATTACTATTTCACAAATAAAAATTATAATATCATAAATTAAACATGTATACAATTCAGACATCATTTTTTATGAATATTTTTTATTCATGAAATAGTGATCTTTTTGTAAACATATTTAATTTATGATATTATAATTTTTAGTAAACATATTTGCTTAAATTTACTATGTTTAAATGATAAAAATATTAAAATTAAAAGTATAATGCTATAATAGAAATTGATGATGTTATAATGAAGTAATTTTGAAAGTACAATGTTATAATATGAAATGTCATGTCAGCAATATCGTACATGTGGACGGCCTACATGGACGATGAGGTGGCAAAGAAACGTGGTATAATGAATAAATTTAATTTAAAAGGTTACCTGATGCTATAACGGGTAAATTTTTGAAAGTACGATGCCATAATAAAAAATATTTTGAAAGTACATTGCTGTAATAAGAAAACTGAAAGTACATTGTTGTAAGAAGAAAAACTGAAAGTACAATGCTATAATAAGAAAATTTGTAAAAGTAGGTTGCTAATTCGCGCATTTTCCCTTTAATAATAATATAGAAAAGATATAAAATAAAAATTGAAAACTACATAAACTTTTATTTTGGTATTATTTTTATAGTCTTGACAAAAACTTTATAATGATATATTTTGTTATAGAAGATATTTATTTTATCATAACTTAATAAATTAACCAAAATATATAAAATATGTAAGCAACTCATTTAGGGTAAATTGGTCATTTTATTTAATCTGTCTTGTCCAATTCCATCTTACGAGACTTTGGACAACTGTGTTGTCATGTCTAGACACCAAATGCACCCCAGTATGGATTACCACAAGTAAACTGAAAGATGCGTAGATGTACCTCAGAGAGTAAAGCCACAACAACGGCGGAAATGCAAGGAATTTCCTCACAAAGTTGGAAAATAACTCGGATAATAGTAAAAACTTGAAGATCCTTCAACTGTAGGCAATATAAGAACAAAAAACAAGATGACCTTCAATTAGCAAATTGATTTCACACTATCATAATCATTGAATCAAATGTGCCCACCTGAATAGGTAACGAAGCAACACCTGTGTCGACTCCTAAAACAATATCTGGATTTCCACCCCATCGGAAATCCATATCCATTGTTATTTGACCTTCCTTAAGGCTTTGAATGCGGATGCCTGCACATATCAAGTAACTTGAAACCTGTTGAACACGGGACTAATTTGAGGGATATAGAACTGTATTAGGCATCAACTGAATGTTTACAACCACCCACTGCCTTTATTTATACTACCTAAAGCATGTATCAATGCATTAGACACTTGTACCATAGTTTACTCTATTTGACTTATTTACTAAAATACCCCGGTCTTCAGGTATAACAAAAACCTAAATTATGTGTGAAAATCATATTTGGTTTAAAGCATATCCAACATCATTCATTAGCCCTCATTTGCACCAATGATATTACGGGGTTAGTTAGAAGCAGAGGCAGACACATAATTTTTTTCAAATGGTGGCATAATTTGTCTATAAAAAAATATTTTTTTTTCATAATATTAGTATAGATTTGTTGGTTGGTTTCTTGTCCTTATATAGAAGAGATCCATGTTTAAGTCATGTCTACACATATTTTTAAAAGCACAAAAGGTATATAAAACCAAATTTAAGCTAAAAAACAACAAATTTGACAACAATTAGGGATTTGAACCCAAGACTTTTGTACAAAGGCATGAGCGTTTACCATCTCAGCCATTAAAGTCTTGTGCTAACATTTCAGTTTGAAAAACTATATGGTGGCACCCAACATAACAATACGTCGACACCCTTCAGATTCGTTATTTTTTTCCATATCTGATGAAACCATGAAGTGGTGGTCCATGCCACCGTATCATTTCATGTAGGTCCCCCCTTGTTTAGAAGAATAACCTTCTAACAGGGTTTTTAAAATGCATAACACCTCTACCAAATAGAAGAAAGCCTCGTTATAACTCAAGAATAATGGTGATTTTAGTGTCATCATATATTTTGTTATAACTGAGATCAATTTAAAATACCACCCTCACATAGAATGAATACTCACTTCATCCTAAAATAAGTGTTTACATTTCTATTTTAGTTTGTCCAAAATAAGTGTCCGCTTTCAGAAGTAAGTGTCAATTATACCCTTAATTATGAGATGGAGATATTCATTACTCCCTCTGTCGTAAAATTGACATCTATTTTTGGACGGAGGCAGTAATACCGATAAATAATACCTTCAATCTTTGGCGCTACATTTCCGAGAGACAGTTTGCTGAACTTTAAAGCCGAAATTCCCGATGGACGGTATTCTTCCAATATGGGTTCCACAGATTCTTTAATTATTATACTAGTGGCCTGCAAATGTAACATGTGACATAAGTACACAACTATACTCAGTCAAGAAGACCATAACCTCATAACCCAATATGCGACAAAATAGCCCCGTGAGGCTGTGACTTCGGGAGAAGGGGCACCTCCTCAGAACGGGGTCGAGGAGGGGCTCATGTCTGATTAGCTAGTTGGTTACATTTATTCATAGCCAGGGGCGGACCTATGTATATCCGAGCGGGCTCCAGTGCACCATGCTCAACTTATTTTCGCAAGTAAGATTTCTTTTGAGGCATGAATGCTACACCTGCTAAACTTTGAGGGGTGCTCCGGGATATTAGAAAATATAACAAACATCAACCAAAAAACAGAAAAAAGTACCTAGAAATGAACTAGAAAACGGTAAAGTCTCTTGAAATCAACCAAAAAAACAAAAAAGTCCCTAGAAATCAACCAAAAAACTTAAAAATCCCTCAAAATCAACCAAAAAACTTTAAAATTCCTTCAAAATGGTGGAATTCAGCTAAAAACACATTGGGCGACCTTACGGGTCTTTGATCTACCTTAAAGATGCATCCGCTTGGCAAAAATCCTGGGTCCAGCACTGAATATAGCACCAAGTCAGTGACTAAAGGAGCCTGCGGTGTGCCTAATAGACAAATCTACGTACCACTATAGACAACAGAAAATTTTCAACCAGCAACATGGATGGACCTATGAAGCCAAGGGGTATGCACCAAAAGTTTTGCAAACTTTTGTAGCGGAAATTTATGGTGTTATTGCAGTTTTGAGTTGAAAATTTTACGCACCATGTTATGCCATCTTTGGTCCTTTACACCACTGCTGATGGGGTTAGTAAGCCTCTCCACTCTTAGTGGGTCAGCATCTCGGTCAACAACAGTTCTTGGTCAGAAGGTGTTGGTAAACAACATTATCTCTTACCCAGTAAGCACAATTTACTTGGTAATAAGTTATAAGCACTTAGCAAAATACTCCAGAAAAGACATTTTCGACGAAATTGACTAATGATTCTTAAACAAAACGTACTCTTCAACAGAACAGACGAATTCACTCGTTAAGAATGCAAGCTTATGGTATTACATCAGCAGCATTCAGCTATAAACCTAAATCAACTGGAAAAATGTGTGCTTCCATGTTAATCCACATACTACTTTACAGGGACGTTAAGGGGAAAACCCCAAAAAAATGAAAAACCGAGGAACACGAACACCCTGGTAACCATTCATGTGGACGGTATGCACATGTCCATACAAGAATTGAAGTTGTTTCTTGGTTTTTATGCACGTGTGCATACCGGATAAATTGCTTACAAAGTACTTATATGCACATGTCCATACAAGAATTGAAGTTGTTTCTTGGTTTTTATGCACGAGTGCATACCGGATAAATTGCTTACAAAGTACTTGTACAGGAAGATGATGGTTGAAAAACATGATTGATGCGTGAGGGCTTCAATCATAGTGTTTCTTCAACAAAGTGGTTATGGAGATCCATAATATATCAAGAAATGGTATTTTTGAAATAAACAGGTTGAATGGAAAAGTTAAGTAAAAACACAAGGTGCAAAAGCAGAGAAAGCTAACGAACAGAATGGCGCTATGTGAAAGAAAGAACCAATAACAAAAAAAATAGGTAATGAGTAAGAAAGGTAGAAAATATTACTTCTGCAACATATGGCCACAGTTTGCTCAGTTGTTTGTTCAGCCATTTCGCCTGAAATATTCAGTTATGAAGGTGAGACGAATGCAACACTTTAGAATTCTACAATGTGGTATTATGGTGACAAAATTCATGAAATGATCTCTTAGGTAGAGAATAGAGATGCACAAAAAATATCAAAAATACCAATCCCCAAGCCCAGCCCAGCCCAAAAAAGCCCAGGTCTAGCAAGCCCGAGCCCAGTCCTAACCCTTAAAGTCCGATCAGGCCAATTTTTTTAAAGGCCCAGTTAAAGCCCAACTTCTTATTTGCTTATCAAAACGAGCATTGAAAACCTAGGCTCTGTGCATCTCTACTCTTTGGTGATTCAATATTGTATGCTTCCCTTGGGCTTCTGGGTAATAATTTAGTTTAAATGCTGAGTGAGATAATGAGTTCTTCTGCATAACTTGATAAAGGCAAGCATTTTAGTTTACCATAAATAAAATTTAACCTCGAGAAGCCGAAGTTTGAAAATCGCTAAGCAAGAACTTGGAAAAATCTTTTCAAAATTGAGTATCATATAATTCATATCATGCATGAAGTCACCCAACCAAGTGAACGTATAAAGGTGTTTAACTAGTATTTAAACATGCCTCAAATGCGTTCTAAATCTAATGTATGAAGTAATTATTCTGAGCTTGCAGCTTGATGTCGTGTTAATGTGTTTCGAGTGTTTGGCAAAAACCGATTACGATTATGATTTTCTAATTATTTAGGATCAATATAATCAGATTTGGAGAAGCAGGTTAGGAGTTGCTCTAAAAACAGATTATTGAGATATATGTAATATTATTGAACTATTGCAAAAGGGTTTTTTAACTAGCAACCCTCAAGCTGCCCCACACCATCCCACTCCTAGATCATCATGTGAGAGGCAAAATTCACGTACAAAGTGGCCCACTAGGTGGTTTGCTTAAAAGTCCAGAGCCAACAAGGATTTTACCGAGTACTTAGGCTGTAATAATCCCTTTCCAAATAGTACAAAACCGGGTCGGGTCGGATTAGAAGCAGAGTATGAGAACCAAGAACTGGATTGTATAGTACCGGTTGAGTAACGGCTCGGTACCGCTTTAGAACCAGATTGGGACTTGGGCTTGGTTTGAGTTAGTGACTCAAACCTAATTTCTTACCTAAACGCCGTCATTTCATTAAAGTAAAAAGAGATCCAGTTGGGACTAGACAGGTAACCGATTCTTTTGTTATATTACAACATTCTGCTCCTTGGTTGGTACAGTTCCGGCTAGGTTGACCGGTTCTACGGTTCCGTTCCGAATTTTGTACACTCCGAACACACATCCAAACACCACAATATATACAAGGGAATTTTCTGGACCAATACCATCAATAAGTGTTAATGTTGACTCACAAGTAGGTATGTGTAACTTCAAAATTTTCCAAAAAATAAAATGTTGCAATCCTCTTGAGAAATTGTTACAATTTTGATTCAAGAGAGGGAGTATACAAATAGAAACGCATTGTAAAACTTTTATTTGATGGCCAATATAGATATGTAGTTACCAAAGGGTCATTGGCACAACGGTATCTGGGCTATCGGTAAATCCTAGTGTCCCAGGAGATCAAGGTTCAAATCTCACAAAAAATAGGAGTGTGTGTTAGTATTTGCCTTATATAAATATTATATATACTTCAAACACATCTATCTATATACCTATATTATATATATATATATATGTATATATGAAGCTCTAACCTGCTCATAAACAGGGAACGATATCCATTGAGGAAAGTCATCACCACAAAGTTTCTTTAGATCTTCTCTATCAAGCGATCCAAGGAGCTTTATGTCCGCTGCCTGAGGAAAAAGTAAAGTATCTCAATAAAGCTGAAACATTTTTTTTTCTCACAATGAAGATAGTTTGGTGCTGCAAAATCAAGATAAATGCTCCAAAGCTCCAAAAGTAAACCAAACCAAACAAGTCCGGTATATCCCACCCGGAAGTGGGGTCCACAAAGGGTGAGATGTAAACAGACTTGACCTATACCCCAAAGAGTAGAGCGGACGCTTCTGCGAAGACCCCCGTCTTGTAGTAGTGATATTATGTAAAAGGAATTTGTGTAAATTTCCCAAATTGTAGTGTGGCACATAACACCTTGAATTCTCGGATAGTGAAGCAACAACATCCTCAACATATAAAGGCTAGATCTTGGGGCTCCTCCCTATATATCGTCAGTTTTACTCTCCTATGCGGATTTTCCTAGTTGTTATCTTTAGTGTCCCATGGGATTAACCGAGGTGCGTGCAAGTTGATCTGGACACCCACGGTTATCCAAAAAATCCTCAACATGTTCGGGTATTTTCTTGTATCGGCTTAGGCATGAGTAAAGGATCCGGTAAGACACATGAGCAAGACTTCTTGATCCTCCATCCGGTAATTTTCCTTAAATTGTTCTATAAGTTACTGAAATATCATTCATTACCTTCGACTTGGTAACAAATACTACCAAGAGAAGCATTTGTTTTAAATGCATAACAACATCTATATTAATTATCTATACTATCTTATAAAGCATTTAGGTTTTTATTCTTAAAAAATCTAATATTCTAAGGATACAAGTTATAAAACATTAAGTACACATTATTAATACATACAAAAGCTTTCTTTTCTAAAATATTCCTACTTTGCGATTTTCTAATTGTTAAATTAGACTTTTGAGAAACCTCTACTGCCCCTCCCACACGGTCAGTCAACCAAATAAACAACAAAATATTTGAGATTTTTAGAAACCTCATCTCACAACTGATCCATTTCGAAAAAACAAAAACTCCTAAAAGATAAATTTAAAACAATTTATTTTTCGGTTTACAATTATATTTTACATTCTGCTACACCGCACAGGTAAACTTTAGTGAATTTGTAACATAATAAGTTCAATCTCAAACATCTATTTCTATCTTTGAATTAAGTTACAAATTTTTACATTGTACCAAATCTTATCACTCAAAAGTCCATGTTGATAAAAGAACAGAAAACACCAATTAATTTATAGCCTTAATAAACCATATTTGTATACTAAACTTCAAGCCTAACACCATCTATGATCACCACATCAACTAATCCACACAAGTCTTCTATCCTCGAATGATATACTTCTTCGGTTCCATTTACATACATTTGCATGTAGTTTACCGGAAGTGTTCGACTTGTCTAAAATACCCTTCAACATTGACAAAATGGGAAGAATCTTTTAGACCAAATTCAACACCATTAGTAATATGTAACAATGACAAATGGACAAATATACAATTTAATCTTGAGAATTTGCTAAAAGGAAACATAGCAATGAAAACGTGAAATCCCAAATCAGAAATTCTCATCTTCATGGTAATGGAAGGAGTATTAATTTGATTATAATTGCTTGAATCCAGACCTAAATAACTACAACCATGTTGCCCCTTTGTATAAACCCTAACATCACTAGATCCATATAAAACAAATCAATTCTGAACACAAATCTCTAATGAACCAATTTCACATAAAATCAACGTAAAAAACAACCAAATTGTTCATCAGATCAAATGACTATAACAAAATAATAATTATACCAATACATCCATTACCTTTGCAGCACGATTTCTGCTTCGACGCCTCATCATATAACGCCAACTCGCCATGATTGAAATCCCAAATAAAGCTCCCATAAACATACCAGAAATCAATCCCATCGTTGATCGAACTCAAATCCCCTGTAACCACAAATCAATCTCAGAAACCAGAGCAAATCAAAATTTCGACTCAATGACCAGAACAAGTGGTTACCGATTATCCGTTTCAAATTATCAAAACCCCCCACTATGTGTGTATCCAGTTTATATCTGTTTTTCTCCCTCCAAATCTCGATCGGCTTCGTTGTTTCTTGGCATTCTCCTTCAATAAGTACCGATGTTGTTGCAGATGAAGAATATTGTCGAAATGAGGTAGCGTACAGCGTATCGTGGATGCTTAGCTCATACTATTTGTGATGAAATTCAAATTATGATGAATGATTGAGAGAAGGAGGTGCGCATGTTCATCTGGATTCAAATCAAAGTTTTGCTTGCATGAAATTTCGTAGATGATGACAAAAGTGTGCTTTGTTACGACGTGACATTGTCATGATATAATAAGATAGGAAATTCTTATGCGAGTAAATTACAAATTTAGTCCCTGTAGTTTGTCTAAAATAACATATTTTATCTTTGTAATTTTGAAATTACAAGACGACTTGTCGTTTGCAAAAATGTCTCGATTTGGTCCCTTTCTATAAGAGATGTTAAAATTTTCCGTTAAATGAGGAACATTTTTATTCTTTTATCCAATCAAAAACCACATAGACCAAAATAATAAAACCGATTTTAATTGGATAGAAGATAAATGCGTTTAATGGGAGTTTTAACAGTCGTTAGAAGAAGGGATCAAAAGTGTTATTTTTTATAAACCACACGTACCAAATTTGTAGCTTACTCTATTTATGCACTCTTTTATTTTAGTTTGTCTCGGTATAAATGTCCATTTTTAAAGATAATCTATCTCTATTATTAAAGGTAATATTGTCATTTAATTAACTAAGGAATTGTTTGTTTACCTCTTAATAGTTTCATTAAGAGGCAGTCTCTGAATCGCTAAGAGATAAATCATGTTTGACAAAAAAAAGTCTGTCTCTTAATGATTCTAAAACCCTCTGAATGATTTTGTATCTTGCTTCTTCCTTAACCATTCAGCCCTCTAATTTCATTCTGAATAATTATCAAACAATTATATTTCAATTTGTACTATATTATAATAATTTCTTAATCATTCTGAATAATTACCAAACAATTATATTTCATTTTGCACTATATTATAAGAGTTTCTTAATCA